TTCAGAAAGGAAGTTCAATCTTTATATCTTATGAGAAACGTACCTGGCCAGAGAGATGCTGCTTCACTGTGTTTGTGATGTCCCAGTCTGTTTCTGTTCTCAAGTCCACCTTTTGACCACAACCTAAATTGCTCTGCCACTCTCTGCTATTCAGCCTCAAACAGGAAACTTGCAGTGCTCATTTAAGGCAGTCAGTCTGAAAGTGAGAAACTCAGAAAGAAGGGCTCTGTTTGTTTCACTGAATTTACAGTTTGCTAAACACTTCATCACATGTTGTCCATTAAATTCCAAAGCAGTGTGACAAAGGTTAGATGGATTTGGACAGATTCCTGTGTTAACGTAAGTGCTTAGAAAAATGATTACATACATATTTATACATCACTTTTCATAATGCAGTAAGGAGGAACGTAGGAACTCAAAATCAGGTTAGATCCGGTGATGAACAAATATTATCAGCCAATGCAATGCAACCCAGAACATTTAATCAGTGAAATGACATCAATCACCCCCATATCTAGTGTGTCATAGCAAGTGAATACATTCTATGAATATGAAAGAGCAAATCCACGAGTGAACTCGAAAGCACAAGTGCACGTTAACAAAAGACAAAAAACTCCCAGATGCACTGAATTTAAAAAAAATCTTTGACAAAATAATATATTGAAAAAACAAAACAAGAAAATGAATCACTTGTATTTATGTTTAAATATAATTCATTATATTTATAGCCTACAGCAAGACAAAAAATTAAATCAAGCACAACTGAGTGTGAATGGTCCTAGTATTTTTCATAATTATCATGTCTGCATATCATGATACTATAAATATATTGATATCACCTCTATAGACAGTGTGTGATTGGGTACACAATACAATAACTAATTATCAGAACAGTTAACAACACTTTTCCTGCAATTGCATGTTAATAAAACAAACAAACAAACAAAACAGCTAAACAATGATAAGTTTGAGATGTTTGTGTAGTTATATTCTATATTTTAAATTATTTAAATTATTTTACATTTAATCTTTTTTTATTTAATTATTTTAGAAGATTTTTCCAAAAATGATTTCATCATGTTCTCCAAATTTAACACCAATCCTTTGATGAAAGCTGGAAATGGTTTGAGCATAGACTATTTATAGCTGGCCACTAAAACATTTTTGCATTTTATTACTTGGAATTTGGAGCATTCAATCATAGGAAGGCATTATCACATCCCAGATGAAGCTAGACTATAACTGAGTCATGCTCAGAGCCATGTGTTTGTTGCAGGCTAATCAGACTAAAATGAATTACCACCAAATTTCAAGCATGCAAACTGCATGTCCAGAGTTTCTCCTAGCTTCTCTAACAGGTCTCCTTGGACCAGTTGTAGCCACCTGGTAGTTACCAAGTTTAAGAAAATATCAGGCAGTGTCTGAGATACTGTGCCAGAGAAGCCTGAACGAAGGGATTGTAATTGTATTGCT